TTTATTAGAGAGAGAGCATGAGCGGGGGGGGGGGGGGGGGGGGGGGGGGGGGAGGTCAGGCCTCCCCTCGCAGGTGAGCGCTCATGAGTCACAAGGTCACTGTTGATGCTGCGGGGCAATAAGAGGCCTTTTGTAGACAAGGGCTTTGCGCAGGAGCCTGCAGGCGCTGCGCCATGATTTGGGGGCAGCATCGCTGAGATGCTGGAAGGCAGGAATCCCCCAGCAGCAGCCAGATGAAATCCACCCCGGGGAAGGCTCTGAGCAGGCTCGTGGTTTCTAACACTTAGCTTTTCTTTAATGCCATCTGCCCCCAGAAAGAGACGGGAAAGGTTTTGCTCAGACGCAGGCAGAGTGCTTTCCCAACAATTGATTCTCTTTAGGTTTCATTAAAAAGAAAAAGTAATTTTTTTTTTCATTGTTCTAAAATCCAGGGATTGCATCAGGCAGTCAATGGCTTGGGATGGTATTACCACAAATTCAAGAAAAATTATGCCAAAGCAGCAAAGTACTGGTTAAAAGCGGAAGAAATGGGGAATCCGGATGCATCGTACAATCTTGGAGTCCTGTATTTGGATGGCATTTTCCCCGGAATTCCTGAAAGGAATCAAGTAAGTCTTGAGACCAGCTGTGCCACTGGCCACTGGCTTGTCTGCCATGTGCCCGGCCTGCATAAGGCCCCGTGGGGGTGCAGACGCCACCCAAGACACAGACCCTGTCCTCAAGCAACTCCAGGGTCCAGTTAGGAAGATAAGACAGCAAACGGCAAAGGATGGTATCTAGCCAAGTGTCAAGTGTGTGCTCTTTGCTATGACCCAAACAGATCTCGACAGGGGAAACTGTGATGGCCAAAAGCAGTCAGGAAGGCTTCCTGGAGGAGGGAGGCCTGAACTAGGGAAGAAGGGGAAGATGATTCGAGATGAGAATGAGCAAGAGGCAGTGCAGAGATTGATCTTACTAGAAGCAAAGAGAGCTGAGTCCAGATAGGGTTGCCTGATATGAGACCAGATTTCGTAATAGTGAAAACCACAGTGACAGTCTTCAGTGTTTGCTAAGCACTTCCTCTGTGATAGACACTCAGAAATAGTTGACATGCACCCGGTGTCATTCTAATTACCTTCTGGAATAGCTGCTATGATTATATCCATTTTACAGAACGAACAATCAAGTCTCTGAGAGCATATGTAACTTACTCAGAGTCATACGCTTAGTGGAGGCAGGACTGGGATCCCTGCACAACATGGAAGCCCCTCGTTATTACTAATACTCTTGATGATGGTGATTATAATTTCTGCACCATTACAGTCCACAAATTTCATTGAATGCCCACCTATGCCAGGCACTCTCCGAGGCACTGGGGATACAGGAGCCTTATATATATCTGGGAGCAGAATATTCCAGAAAGAGGGAACAGCCAGGGCAAAAGCCCTAGAGGAAAGCAGCCTTGTTGCTCCTCAAGGAACAGCAGGGAAGCTGGAGCAGCGGGAGCAGGAAGTGGGGGAGCGGCATAGGTGGGCGAGAAGGTCGGGCAGGCAGGTGCGCGGGTCATTGTGAGGTCCCTGCCGCTCCGAGGCAGATGGGAAACCGCTGGGCAGCTTTGGACAGGGCAGTGATGTGCTGTGCTTTAAAAGCCTCCCCTTAGATCCTAGCAGAGACTAGGATTAAAGAAGACAAGAGGGGAGCAGGGGGTTAATGTATTGAATCCAAGTGAGAAACAAGGGCGACCCCAGGAGGGGGATGGAAATGTGGCTGGATTATGCACGTACTTTGAAGGTCAAGGTGACAGGGCTCGCTAATGGATTGGATGTGAGGTGTGACAGGGGAGAGGAAACGGGGTGACTCCAAAGTATTTGGCATTTATCGAGGTAGAAGAGTGGAGGGGGCAATTCGCAGGATGGGCCAGCCTGAGGCAGCGGCAAGTTTCTGGGGGTTGGGACCTGGAAGATAATTTTTGTGAAGCACTGTGCTAAACCTTGAGAATACATCTCATTTAATCCTTGAAACGGCCGTTCGTGCTAGGTATTATTAGAAGCCATATTTTTCAGCTGCAGAAATCTCGCAGTTGGAGAGATGAACTAATATGCCCAAGGTCACACAGGGGGAAGGAGCATAGCTGGGATTTAGACCCAAGCCCATCTGACTCCAAAGCCCTGCTTCAGAACGGCAGCTAACCGCCTCGGAAAAAATAATAGTAACCAGCAGAATATTCACCCTTCTAAATGTTTATTTTTCCCCTCTGCCTCTCTCTGCCTGCATAAGGGGCTGTATGTTTTTATGCATTGCTAATGTCTGGTCACCCACCCACTTATATGCTAGTGTGGATTTTTTATTGTCATATTCTAATTCTCACCTTCCTGCGGGAGATGCAGTTTTGGCACATGAGTTTGAAGAAAGTATTCATCAAGGTTAGGAAAGCCAATGCCTGAATTTTCACCCGGTATGACTTCTGATACATTCTTCCGTTTCATTTACAAGGGTTAAGGGATTCGTAGCTACGTGTTGTCTTATTAATTTATTGGGTAAACTTAACAGAATAGCTTACTGTCAGGGTTATCGCATCCAGAGGCCGGCTTCTGTGATGGGCTGTCTTCCTGAAGCTTGACTTGGTTTTCCTAAAGATATCAGAAGTGATGAGCCGGTGAAAATATCAGGGGTTGAGTGTCTCACCGTGTTGGCTCCAGGGAGACCAGTCCACCTGGGAGGACTCCTCACTAATGAGATAACTCTGTTTATCTCTCTACAGACTTTAGCCGGTGAATATTTCCATAAGGCTGCACAGGGCGGACACATTGAAGGAACCTTGTGGTGTTCTCTCTATTATATCACAGGAAACCTGGAGACATTCCCTAGAGATCCCGAGAAGGCTGTTGTGTAAGAATCTCTCAGCTATTGTGCACAAAGGGAAAGCTGCGTACTTAATTCACTGTGCCTGAAAATGGAGTCCCCGTTCTTTGTTTTGCAATTTTGAATTCAGTCTTTATTTTTACCAGTTATATATGCACAGAGTTTCAAGAGCCGTCTCATTCGACAAGGCAAAAATGAGTACATTTTAACTGAAACCAAAAAAATAATAATTTGACGTGGGAAAAGCAAGCAATCTGCTACCCCACCCAGACTACTTCCTGCTCTCAAGAATAAGTCACTTTCAGTCTTTTCATTATTTCTTTACTGTTTGCCCCTCTCTTTCAATGACATGCTCATACTACTATTTCTTGTTATTTTCATTACAGGCTTTGTCTAATGATGTCGCACTGTGAAAAATAAAGATAGAGTTCCCTCTCATTCTGCCGCCACCCGTCATCCCACGCATCCACACTTCCCACCTGGTCCCATTTTCCCATAAATGTATCATTATTTTGGTTAGATCAGGAGCAGGGCCATGTGAGTGCCACTCACCGCTGAGCCATGTAATATGCTGTGACTACTTTTTCTTTCTTGCACAGTTTTTTGTGTTCTGTGGAGCATTAATTATACTTCATAGTCCTTCAGTTGCTTAGCTTTCTGCATACTTATCATTTTTCATGTGTTTAACTCTCCAAATTCTCCCACAGTTGTCTAAATCTCTCCTTAGTACGTCCACACCCACCAGGTGTACAATTAACTTAATCTCGGTGACATCTCTGTCTTTGCTCAGGACAGAGCTGCCTTCCTGAAATTAACTTTGTCATCACTGTGGAGGTTTCCTTTCCCTTCATCCTTGTCTTTTTGGGCTCTCCTTGCCTTACCCTATTTCTTCCTCTTTCTTGATTTACTCCTATGCTTTTGTAGAGCACATCCTCCAGTAGCTTCCTAAAGAATGGTGAACAAGAGGTGCATTTTTGAGGTCATGCATATCTGAAAATGTTTTATAGAGGTTGGCAAACTAGGACCCATAAGTAACATGTGGCCCACCCTCTGTTTTGTGTGGCTCCAGGAGCTAAGAACGCTTTTTACATTTTTAAAGGGTTGTAAGACAAGCACACACACTACAATGAATATAAGTAGAGGCTATGTGTGGCCCACAAGGCTTAAAATATTTACTATCTTGCCTTTTACAGAAATAAAGACAAAAAACAAAACTTTGCAGACCTCTGCTTTAGATCACCCTCAAACCAATAGTCTGGCTTTTCAAAAGGTTTTGTTTCATAAGACATTTGAAAGCAAATCCAACCTGACCTGAACTCATTGATAAAACTTGACCAAGACAAACTTGAAGCTTTTTATCATTATTTGTTAGGATGTTTGGTGTGAACATTCATATGTTTCATAAATTTTTTTTTGTTATTGATTACTAGCTTGATTCCACTGCAATCAAAGAATACATTCTGAATGACTTCAGTCCTTTGGAATTTGTTGAGGCTTGCTTTATGACCAGCATACCGTCAATTTTGCTACACCTGCTTTTTTTGTTTCTTAGAGTTTTTTTTGTTAGAGTTATATCTTTTTCCAGACTTTACTTTTAATCTTTTCTTCTTTTAATTTTAATATGTATCTCTTCTAAGCAGCAAATAATTGGGTTTTTGTGTACTTTTTATTCAGTCTGACGAGTTTAGTTTTTAATTGGTATATTTAGACCATTTACATTTAACGCAACTTGCAGATATATTTTGTTTTAAATCTGCCATTTTACTACTTATTCCTTACTTGTCCCATCCATTCTTTGTGCTTGTTTCCCCTTTTCTTACCCTTCCTTTACATTACTCAAGTTTTTTTTAAAGACTTTATTTATTTGACAGAGAGAGACACAGTGAGAGAGGGAACACAAGCAGGGGGAGTGGGAGAGGAAGAAGCAGGCTTCCCGCTGAGCAGGGAGCCCGATGCGGGGCTCAATCCCAGGACCCTGGGATCATGCCCTGAGCCGAAGGCAGACGCTTAACGACTGAGCTACCCAAGTATTTTAAAAAATTTTTATTTCCTCTTTCCATTAGCTTGTTATTTGTGTATCCTTGTAATATTCTTTTAGTGGTTGTAAGTCTAAAGATTACAACAGGCCAGTTCATTATTTAGTAAAAATTCTCCAGGATAAATTAGAGAACAGAAAAAAAAAATGGGGAAACCTTATAATAAATCAGTAAACATGTTTTAATGGAGAGAGTACTAGAACTCTTGGTGAAGATTATCTTTTTTTGTATCGGTGGTTATTTTTCATTAGGTATCGCTCATGTCTTTGTCTCCATACACGATAACTCCTAAGCACTTATAAGAAAAGGCACTGAATGTAAAGTTCTCAAAATGCATCTTTTTTTGCCTTCTTAATGTTCAGTTCTGGTTTGTTGCTGTGTAAAAATTCTAACAAGCAAAATAATCCCCAACTGGGATTTACTGAGATCATATGAAGAAAAAACAATTATTTAATTTGCCACAGTTTGGATATTTTCTCATTCCTTTTCTTTTCAGATGGGCAAAGCACGTAGCTGAGAAAAATGGCTACTTGGGCCATGTCATTCGCAAAGGCCTCAATGCCTACCTGGAGGGCTCATGGTAAGCTGGGGACCCATGTTAGAATGAACTTTCTCAGCCCTCACCTTTCAATTTGTCAGTGTAGTCGTATGAGATGGAGTCTTAAAATACAACCGAAAAAGCAATTTGCAGGGAAATCATGGCCTCCCAGTAATGATATTCAGAGTATCACAGACTGATTGGCTGTTGATTGGAAAACATAGCATTTCCATGTTTAATTATACACGAAAATTAGTTCTCTAGGGGAAGCATCCACATTCATCAAGTTGAGAGACCCATGAATGTGTTGACTTCTCTTCCCTTCAAGCTTGTTGCTCTTGGTTTTAGAGTGGAGACAGCACAGGGGGTCTTAGCTGAACCTCTGCCCCTCCCTGGCAGAGCACAGAAAGTTCATGGGAAGCAGAGAGAGCAGTGTGTTTAAGGCTCAAGCTACATCTTTCCACTGATATGTTACTACATCTTCCATGGCCAAGAGCCTGGGATTACTGGAACTCATTCACCAGCCCTCGGATATCACAGCCAAATAGATTCCCCATTTTAACTTTCTTCTGATGGAGTTAACAAATCTCAACCTGTACCCTATGGGATGAGACGCTGCACTGAGGACTTGCAAATGATTCCCGTTTGCTGTGCCTTGATTTTACAAATAAGGGCACACCTTTCCAAACTGCAAACTCCACCTGATTCCATCTTATTGATTTCTTCTGCCAGTCCTGCCACTCTGTCTTACTTTTCCATTGGGACATATTTTCTTGGTTGGTTTATTGCCCAAGTGATCTGGGTATCTCAGTAATAACTTAAAAGGGTATACAAATTGGCACATATCCCATTGGTCCACTGCCTCAAAGACATTAGACCAGACCTATCATAGATCATACTCTGATCTGAACCTTAATTAAAAATTAAAATATAAGTCCAAAAGAACACTATTTTCCCCTTTGGTCCATGGGTGCCTGCATAATCAGCAGATAGCATGTCAGTGAATGAAAATCTTAAAGAAGGCAGGGACGTGAACCCAATGAAAATACCAAAAGGAATGTTTGTTATTATCATCCTGTGAAAGTTTATTACCTGTAGCCTCACTTTGCACAATCTGGAAAAAATTTTAATGGAATTATTATTTTCCCCTTGATACACCTTATAATTTTTCTGGTGCTTTATCTTGTCTCCCAAATGAGCTTCAGTTTCTAAAACTCCCAAATTTGAATTTAATTTATTCTCTACTTCTCATCCTCCAAACTACCCCCCTCTTTGCTCCCCACAAGCTTCTTAGGGGAAAAAGAGTATTCAAAAACCGAAGTGTGTATGTGGGCTTTCCCAAAGAGAGAGCACATCTGTAAACAGGCCCACACTGACACACATACACACCACAATGCTTGACACTATTTTTCCCCATAAAGAGAGTGGCTATTAATAGCTACATTTCTTGCCTGCTTTTGAATTTAACATCACAAAGCATTTCAGGTAGCACATTTTAAAATTCGCTGTGAAGGTCGAGATGAATTAAGATTTTTGCAACCTGTTGTCCTTCTTAAAATATTCAGCCACAACACAAGACTGATATTTTTTTTTTTTTTGGTGGAGGGGAGGGGGAAATTAAGTGTGTTCTACACTGTGAATTCGGGTCCAGGTCAGCAGATTTTACTGAGTACACTTAAATGCAGGATGCCTTGCCGTAAGCTGCAGGGGATGCCACAGGCGGGGCTCGAAGAAGTGGGGAAGCTTGCTGCCTCCTTTCTTTTTTTTTTTAAAAAGGTTTTATTCATTTGACAAAGAAAGAGCGTACAAGCAGGGGGGAGCGGCAGGCAGAGGGAGAAGCGGGGTCCCTGCTGAGCAGAAAGCCCATCCTGGGCTCAATCCCAGGATCCTAGGATCATGGCCCAAGCCATAGGCAGACACTTAACCACTTAACCAGCCAGGCGCTCTGCCTCATTTCTTCCTTATGCTGAACTATCTGCAGTTTCTCACGTGGTCTGCATTCTGTCTGACCTCTGGATCTTTGAACTTGCTGTTTCCTCTGCCGAGAAGTCCTCCCTAACTCCTTACTCCCTTTAAGATCATGACTGCTCTTGTTGATTGTCCGGTGATCTGTACCCCCGGGCCCAGCACCTAGGGTTACCTGGGAAGTGCTCAAAAACAGAGTGCACGATCTAAGGCAAATAGAACAACCATAACTCAAGGCACATGAGCAGTATATAAAGAGCATGAAGGATTCTGAGAAGGAAAAGATGCTATCTGGTTTGTGGGACTTAGATCAGCCTTCATGACGGGGGTAGCAGATAATATGGCCTTGAGGGGTGGGTGGGATTTCCACTTGGCCATGCAGGGAACAGCATTTCTGATGACGGGAATAGCAGGAAACAAAAGCAAAGAGATAGGAAAATTCTGGATGAGTCTAGGAAATTTTAAGCCATCAGTTTGCCTTCAGGTAAGATTTGTAAAAGGGAGTGACAAATAACAAGGGCAAAGAGATGCTGCTCTATGGAACTTTGAATGGGAGGTCATACACTTTTTACTTAATTCATGAGGCAGTGGGGAGCTATTGATAGTTTGGGGAGAAGGTAGTGACATGACAAAGCTGGGTCCTGAGATGTCTAACCAGACAACTGTGTTTGATGGTAAAGAGAAGGGAGAGTCTGAAGGGGCATGCTGGCTCAGAATCCAGGTAAAAGGAGCTGAGCATTTGAACTGGAGATGTGGCAGAAGCCAGTTGAATTGTTTTCTCCCTCTTCTGTCATATAGTAGTTGATAAGTATGAAGTGATATGTGATATATATATATATGTATACGTTCTTAAGTTCTTAAGCATAATGATACAATGAATATCTGTAACCCTATGTAAGAAAATGAACAGTTGAAGCCCCCTGCATTTCCCCCCCAGATTAAACCCACCCCCACCCCCAGTCCCCAGAAGTAACCATCATCCTAAGCCTTGTTGTTGTTCTCCCCTTGCTTTCTTTATAGTTTTGCTATACGTGGATATATTCCTAAGCAGTAGAGTTATTTGGCTTGTGTCTGAGCTTTATATTATTAGAACCATATTATATATGGTTCAACTGCCTTTTTTTTTTAAACGTAACACTGTGTTTCTGAGCTTCATATCCCTTGGTGCATGTATCTGCGGGTCATTTTTATTGCTGTCATATACCACACTTTACTTACCAATTCTTATTTTAACACACATTTGCGTTTCTCTTTTTTTGTTGTTTTTAAGAACAATATGACCATGAACATTTTTTATGTATATCATGGCATACATAGGAAAAGTTTCGCTAGAATATAAACTTAGGAGTGGGGTCACAGGGCAGGTACTTTATAAGATAGTGTTCACCTTTATAAGGTAATGCTAGCTGTTTTTCCAAAATGCTAGCTGAGTTTACCGATTTACTCGCCTGCCAACCATGTATACATTTTTGTTTCTCCATATCCTTGTCAATCTTGATGCTGATGCTAAGTATTATTAAGTTTCAATCCGGATCCGAAGCCTTTTTTTCTATCAACAGGAAGAGACATCTAGTATCCATTATAATGGGAAAATCTTCATCAAAATGTATTTGAGGCGAAGTGCTTCTATTTCCACCCGCTCTCCAAGTCCTGAAGCCGGCCCTGGGGTTAACCAGGAAATATAGGAATGTTGGCTTCCCCACACCACAATGTGGCTTTTTTGGTACCATCTATTTTGCTGTAATAGAACTAAATCATCCATCAATGTCCCAAGTCCATCCCCCTTTTTCCTTTTCTGTGAGTGAATTTATTCTGGACGTTATTTTCAAATCACATGTGTCAGTTTGATGAGCTTGTGCTTTTCTGTGTTGTTCCAAGATTTATATGGGATAGTTTAAAAGAGGAGCATGATTGAGAAAAGGGCGTTTTGCTGTATAGGCATAATATGGAAGATAATGTTGTCATGCCTCAGGCTGTCCTCGGACACCAGAAGTCAGCGAAGGAGAGGCTGACTGTCATGTTTCATTTCTCTCTGCCTTCCCCCATGTGTGTTTTATCTGTGAGCCATGTGTTTTATTGTCCTTTGTCTTAAATATGCCCCAAATATTTAACCCAGGAGGTTAGCCAGATTATGGCGGGCTTGAGGCAAGACGAGTAGGCATGCCAAATTCAGTTGAAAGAGATTCACCTTTCTGCAAGAGACCAGGGGTCTCGAGTTCCACGGAGATCCCAGGATTTTTTGGTTTTTTTTTTGTTTTATCCTTTCGGTTTGAGCTGCAGAGAAGAGCACAAAGAACATCATATAATTGTTTGGGAAGCTGCTCAGAGGTATTCAAATTCACAATTCACAGCAAGCAGCCAAATGATTGATTATTAAGATGTATCATTATAAAACTCTCTAAGTGTATATGCTGAGTCGGAAGTGGGAGGATAGCAAATAAGCCCCTAAACTCGTTCTTTACCATAAATCCCCTCCTCTCCATGTCCACCAGCCACCCCCATCCCTGTCAGAATGACTGTCTGGGGGACAACTTCATTTTAGTGCATTTGAAATAAAGCTTGAAGCTCTGATGAGCTTCCTAAGCCTTGTGGAAATCCATGGAAAGGACAGTACAGCTTTGTGGCTTATCTTTGGGCTTCCTGCCCACAGTTAAGTGCTGCGTACATGTTTGTTCCATGAATATAAATATAGAAATATCTGTAATTAATACTTCTGGGCACTCTGTGTTGAAACACAATTAAATAAGAACAAAACACTGGGAGGCTAAATGTGGGTAGGATTTCTGCAGAGGTGTCATTTCTCAGAAGTCTTAATAAGCTGAGGAAGTCTGGCCTTGAGAGTTCTAACCTTCCCCTGCGGATGGTGACGGTGTGGGAGTGCGCGGCGTCGGAGGATTGTTTCTGCAGGAGGGAAGAGAGGGGTGGATTTCCCTTCAGTGCTTCTGTTGACATCGATGTTTCATAGACATCTCTTTTTGATGGATTTCAGTGCTTCCTCAAAGGAAATGCTTGGGAATTGTATGAAATTTCCCCTTGGCTTATACAGTAATTGGACAGTGCAAATCTTCCTATAAAACTCGCCCCTCCCTCCCCTCCCCACCACCAAAGTAACTCAAGAGACAAGATCTTGTCTTTGTAAAGTTTATCCTAGTGACTCAGTTCTTCCGGGAAGCGTCAGCCTCATGCCTCCCTCGCACATTCGAACAGTCTGCCCGACTGCTGTCGAAGAAAACGCCATATTGATTACATTTTAATAATGTGAGCCACATCCCATCCAGTTATGGCAGCAGAGGGACCTGGCCCGACATGTGACCTTGAGTTGGCAAGTCTACACCAGCTCCTTCCCGCATCCATCCCTGGGGGAAACAGGCACTGGTTCTAATCCAAGTGTCTCCAAAGAAACGCAAGATTGTGAGACCTTGGGAATGGGTCCCTGTCGCAGAATGATGGGGACTTTCTGCCAGGCCTCCTTTGCATGCCCTCCATCTGGGGTCTGTTCTGAAGATTCTTGTCACAAAGCATGGTTTTTACCAGCTGTGTAGGAAAATGCCCAGGCATCTTTTGTGTGGTTCTTATGGCTGCCGTTGTGGGTTTGTTATCTGGCTTGCAATGCAGGGCACAACTGCCCAGCCAGCTTCGTCTCTCTTTAGCATGAGTCATGGCTAATTGGTCCACTGCCTTGGGTGTCTGGGAAGCGGCCCGTGACCTGCACTGTGTCCGATTGAAGGTCTCACTGTCCTAATTTGACCCCCAGTCACCTCTCTCTGTCCCCCAGGGGATGGGCCACCAGAAGCTGCTTTAACAGAGTAGAAAAAATGATTTCAGAATCTGCTTTCCTTATTTCGCCAGTCCCACCAGAAGCCAGTTTTGGGGTGGAGCTGCAGTTAAGAAAGTTCTTAATGTCAACTCCTGAGAATGCAAAATAACGATATCTGGTCAAAATAAAATTTCGCTCATAACCTGGGTAGCACAAAGAAATGGAGGAAATCATAGAATTAAAAAGAAGAAAATAAAATGACTTGATTCTCACCACCTAGAGAAAAGTACTGTGAGCACTTTGATAGATAATTTGGGGGTTTTATTATTTTTTCTCTGCCTATATGCACCGGCTTGAGCTTGTGAAGGTGTGCACTCGGTTTTATTTCTGCTTTACAAAAACGGAATTGCTCTGTTTCTCATCCTGCTGTTTCTTTTTCTTAACTGAGTGGAAAATTTTGCATAAACATCTTTCTACGTTTTTGAATTCTCTTCTACAACATCATTTTTAATGGCCTCATCTGAAAGTGGCTGCACCATGGGGTAATTTAACTACTCACTGATTTTCAGATACTTAAGTTGCTTCCAGTGTTTTTTTGTTCATATAAACAGCTCTGCCGTGAACTCTGTTGTCACAGAATCTTTGCACATGTTTCTGCTTCTTTAGAATAAACCTTCACAAGGGAGGACTGTTGGCCAAATGGTATGTGCATTCTTAAGACTTCCCGCATTTAACAGCTGGAGTCACCAGCCTTCCCGCAAGCACTGGCCTTAGGAATCTGTCCATTTCCCCAAACCCTTGCTGCTACTCTGTCTTATGAATCTTGTGCCAGTCCTTCAACAGATTAACAGTGACCCGTCATTGTTTTGCCATCATTCAGTTACTAGTGGTATCGAACATTTTTTTTTTTTCTGTGTGTGTTTGGCCGTTGGTTTCAAGCCCCTTGTAAACTCCCTCCCCTCTGCCAAGCTTCTAATGCATCACAAAAACTCAGCTTTAATTAAGCTTGCTCAGAATCCTAAGCCCCATGAAGGCTTTCACGAAACCGAAAGCACAGGGCTTTTTCTAAATGCCACTTATCTCTTCTAAGTGGGAATGGAAGGATTCAAGGACAGAAGGCTACGAGACCACCCAGCCAGCATGCCATACACCATTTAGCCAGTAGAGGTAGCTGTTGCATTAATAACTCTCCAACCTTATCAGTGAGTTCAGCCTTTAAGATAGAAAATAAATCAGTGCATGCAGTATTTTTAACAACAGTATTTATTTTAAAAAAACACACACACACACAACAAACTCATGATTTTGTGGCTTTAAAAAAACCGCTTATTTTGTGCCCTCTTATGCTTGAATATAGAGCTCTCTGTGAATATTAGTAAGAGCCACTATATGAAATTTATTATTAATCATCTATTTTTAGGCACGAAGCTTTGCTGTATTATGTTTTAGCAGCAGAAACTGGAATCGAAGTGTCACAGACAAATTTAGCACACATCTGTGAGGAGAGGCCAGTAAGTAAATGTATTCTTCTCGGAGTGGAAGCTCTAAGGTTAAGGATAATGAATTGGGTTTTATGAAGGCAAAATTAGTCACTTGGCTGAAATATATTAATGAATTAACTTTTTCTCCCCCTTCACCCCCTTAGGACCTGGCCAAGAGATACTTGGGTGTTAATTGTGTTTGGAGATACTATAATTTCTCTGTTTTTCAAATCGGTGCTCCTTCATTTGGTATGTATGGAAAAATGGGTGCTAAATTAAAGCATTGGAAGCTTTTAATCTTTAGTAACAGGGAACATCTAACAGCTTTGTGTGAAGTATGGTATTTCTAAACAATTAGGAAAGAGTGTGAAAAATCTCTGCTATTAAGATCATGAGTAAACTGCTGTCGGCCTCAAGCAATGTGCTTCTCTTCCTCCATTGTCCACTGAATGCTTGAACCCACCATTTCTTCAGAGTTGGTGAGAATTCAAAAGAGAAAGCTATTCTGGAGAGATTCTCTGGGCCAGTCATTTGCCTTTTTTGCCCTCGGATGTATCCCTGTCTTGCTCTGCTCTGCTCTGAATGGGAGGGGTTGATCCCCAGGAAGTACAGTTCCCAGACTCCTGTGTTCCTGGGCATCTGATTGGTTTCAGCCAATGGGAGGTGCCGGCAGGAGATTGCTGGATGGGAGGAAGTGAGAAGTCCAGGTATTTCTCCCCTTCTCCCTCTACTTCGGACTGTATACCCATGGTTCCAGCTCCTATCGGCAGGCCACCCTCTGTGGTCTCAGGTGGTCCCAGATCTAGGGATGGTAATAGTTTCCTATCTTACTCTTCTCTGGATTGTTGGTTGTTCCCCCATTTGCCCTTTCAGCCCTTCTAACACCCTGGTAACCGGTTCCCAGTGTTGAAATCCATCTTTTGAACCACTGGACACAGGTTCTATTTTTCTGACTAGACACTGAGTGATACATACACCATTAGGCAAAACTTTTTCCAAGGGGGAAAAAAAAAATAAAATCTATGGCTTAAACAGAGTAAAGAAATACCCACCAGTCATCAAACTTAGGCAGCAAAATTTCAGATGTCAAATAAAGTGCCCCAAACAATCTTGGCCAATTGTGCTGTAAGGTTGCAGACTGGGATTTTCACAGACCCGTTTGGGAGAGCTGCCCAGCAAAGCAAGAAAATGTGTCTAGAAATGGCGGTGCTCGGTACAAAAGGTTTTCCTCCCCCACCCCCTTCCTGACACACCAAGGAAACAATGATGTTATGTATTCAGGTCCAGGTAGGAAAAATTCTCAGTCGTGCGACTGGGCCAACCACTAAAAATGTCGGTCTGAAATAGAACCGCTTCACAAATGGGCCTCTGCTTTGTGTCCTGCAGCGTATTTGAAAATGGGAGACCTTTATTACTATGACCACCAAAACCAGTCCCAAGACCTTGAGCTGTCCGTGCAGATGTACGCCCAAGCAGCGCTGGATGGAGACTCGCAGGTAAACCACAGAGACAAACCCTGGGTGCTGTCTGTTTGTGAGGCTGCGAGGCCTGGAGTCCTCCCAAAGCCCTCCCGTCTTTACTCCTTCCCAGGTCACAAAGTCACTTCTCCTCCATTGTCACAGCTCTGTGAGGACACGAACCCTAACGGGGAACCTTCATGGAGCACCTGCTACGGTTGCCACACTGTTCTCACAGCAATCTCCTGAAGGTGGGGGTGATTATAGCCATGTTATAGGGGAGGACAACAGGACTGCAATCAGGTGATAAATTGCTCAAGGCCAACCAATCAGGTAGCAGGGGAAGCAGCCCGATCCTAAAGCCACGTCTTCTGGCTCCAAGTCCAGGAGTCTTTCTACCAGATTCCATCAAACTCACTCACTGCGTAGAAACTGAAGAAATTGGAAGTGTGGTCAACATGACAAACGATTTGCTTGTATAGTTGGGCCAACACTTCAGTGATAGGAATTTGCTCTTGGTGACTTTTGCGGGGGGGGAACTTCTTATTTTGGAGGATTTTTAAATGTATAGAAAAGTTGCAAAAAGAGTGCGGAGAGTTGCTATATACCAGTCACCCAGCTTCCCCGAATTTGACTGTCTTGCACATAACCACAATACCGTTATCAACTAGTCAGTGTTGGCTCAGTACCATTAGGTACACTTGAGGCTTTCCCTTGGATTTCACTAATGCCCTTTTTCTGTGCCAGGATCCCATCCAGACTCCCACATCACATTTAGTTGTCCTTTTTCTTTAGTCTTTTTCAATCGATAGTAGTTCCTCGGCCTTTGTTTGTCTTCCATGACCTTGATACTCAGGAAGAACACTGGTTGGGTATTATGTAGACTGTGCCTCAATTTGGCTCTGTCTTCTGCTTCCTCATGAATAGAATGAAGTTATGCATTTTGAGCAAGGAAAACACAGAAGTGATATGTCCTTCTGAGTGTATCATATGAGTGATGTCAGTACATCTGATTACTGGTGAGGCTGATCTCAGTCCCTTGGTTAAGGTAGCTTCTGCTGGGTTTCTTCCCTGCAAAGTTAACAATTTTCTTTCTAATTTATATATATCCTGGGGAGATCGTTTGCAACTCTGCAAATATTCTGTTTCTCCTCAAATTTCCCCCCACTAATTTTAGCATCTTTTAGTAGATCTTGCCTGCAACAATCATTAGTGTGGTGAGCTCATGATGATCCTCTGGTTCCATCTCTCTGACATTTGCTAATCGGAATTCTCCTGTGAGAATCTCAGGGTCATTTTCACGATGGAAGTCGCAATGGTTGATGCCTTTTTTTTTCCTTAAGATTTTATTTATTTATTTGGCAGAGAGAGCGAGAGAGCACAAACAAGGGGAGGGGCAGAGGGAGAGGGAGAAGCAGCTTCCCGCTGAGCGGGGAGCCTGACGCAGGGCTCGATCCCAGGACCCTGGGATCATGACCTGAGCCGAAGGCAGATGCTTAACCGACTCAGCCACCCAGGAGCCCTGTGGTTGATGCCTTCTTAGACACCGGGTTTCTGGTGTTGTGCTTTGCGGTCTGATTACAGAGCAAAAGCTGGAAACGCATACCTATCTTAGATTTTGTTTTGTTTTTTTTAAAGGAGGTACAACATCTGAGTGTTTCTTTACTTGGGTTAAACCCCCACGTCTTTACCACTTCATTGCTATTCCTACCGGGCAAGTCACTAAATCACTGAGTCTGTGTTTTCTCATTGGGAAACGGGGATAATAATAGTATTTAGCTCATAGGTTATGAGGATTGAATGTTATTAAACATTCAGCACTGAGTACACTCAATGAACAAGATCTTTCCTATGATTATTTCTTCTGGAATGAAATCAGAGTTGGTGCTAAAAGGACTCAGTTTAGAGCCAAACTTCCTTCGATGATTTAGGGGACCTATTTTTTTTTTTCAATCCCGATGTTTATTTTTTGGAAAAACAATGTTATAGAAACATTAAAAGATAATTTTAAAGGAAAATAAGCATTAAAGGATGCAGCCACAGTTCCATGGTGGGGCCTTTACTCCTTCCTGTCTTCCTGTCCCCCTCTAGCTGCTGTCCACAGCCAAGTGTATCTCTGTAATTTTAACAAGAGCATCCACGCCTCTTAGAAAATCCATCTCTTTTCACATATTGTAGGGATGTGTGCATTTTACGCATGGTCTCTGTAACTATTAATTACTCTTAACCACTGCCCCATATTCTGTTGAGCCCATGGCTGTAATTTATTAAGCTTTATCTTATTGGTGGACGTTTATTCTCGTTTGCTAATTTATTCATTGACTTGGCACCTATTTCTTCAGTCCTGCCATGTCTTAGACACTTCTTAGTGGTGGGGACGGAAGAGAAAAAGATAGACAATATTCCTGCCTTCTTGGGATTTATAGTCTATTAAGGAAGACGCGGAGGCCTTTTCCGGTTCTGTTGCAAGGCTATCGAGTGCTTCAGTGGACATGTTCATACCTCCGTCTTTTATCTCCATTTGAATAATTTCTTAATAATCTGAGGGCTCGTATTACTGAATCAAACAGTTGAAATGGTCTCATGGCTATATACTAATAGCACGTGGGCTGATGTGCTTTCTGAAAGGGTTTTCCAACGAATACCTCACCAAGCAGTGGCTGAGTGCGGGAAAGGGACAGAAATCTTGCCAGCACTGGATGCTTTCATGACTTCACTTTTAACTATTCTAATTAAATAACTATAAGTTGATAACTTCCTTATTGTTTTACGTTGCATTGATTTGATTACTAGTGGCAATGGACATTTTTACGTAGACTTTACGATCATTTACTCGTGATATATTTTATGTGGATTCTCTATTCGTATTCTCTTCCTATTTATCTATTGGAGGTTTGATACTGGCTTTTTTTTTTTAAGATTTTCATTTATTTATTAGAGAGAGAGCATGAGCGGGGGGGGGGGCAGAGGGATAGGGAGAAGCAGGCTCCCCGCTGAGCAGAGAGCCCGATGCCAGACTCCATCCCTGGACCCCGGGATCATGACCTGAGCCGAAGGCAGACGCTTTACTGACTGAGCCACTCAGGTGCCCCGATACTGGTGTTTTTTTTCCATTTAAATCAGAATCAGTTCTTTATACATTTGCCCAGTAGATAATGGACCTTAAGCTATTACATTGCATACAAATATTCGCCTAGTCTGTTTTCCCATTTATTTTAATTTTGCTATTTTTCCAAGAGACATTAAAATTACATAAAGTGATTTTTTTTCTTTTCTTCTAATATCTCAAGTTTTAAGAGTACCTTCTTTTTAAAGAATGGAGAAATATTCTATTTTCTGCTTGTGCGTAAGTGTGTGTTATGTGTACATCTCGAAGGTACAACACTTTGATCTGTTTAGAGGTTACTTGGCAGCATAGTGAAGGTAAAGATTTGAGACTCTGGGCCCTGTGTGCTTGCATTTGGATTCCAGCCCTTGCCCCTGTCCAGCTGTGTTACGTTGGGCAAGTTCCTCAACCTCTCTGTGCCCCAGCTTCCTCACCTTTAAAATAGAGAGGCTAATAGTACCTATCTCAATCTGCTGTTATGAGCATTAAGCAGATACATACATAAAACAGAACAACGCCTCACATTATAACAGCACTCAGAAAATGTTAGCTGCTATTATGTTTATCATGATTATTGCATAGGATGGTAATGAGAGGCCTGGTGTATACAGCCTGTTGGGGGTGATTTTCATTGAGATCCTTGTCCATGGCAACTGAAAGGAAAGGTCAAAGGGAGGATACAAGTCATTAAAACATGACCATGAATTCTTTGAAGGGCAACAATCCCGTTTCACTTGTAAATCCCTAATGGTAAGTAACGCATCGTTTTCTGTGGATTTCTCGGTCCGGCCACATGCTCTGCCCCTGATGGATGGTGCCTGTCCCCAGACAGTGTAGTAGCTCCCATTCTTTATGAAGCGCCTCTCCTGTCAGCCTCTTAACTCTGCTGGTTTTTTTAATTGGATCTGCACAGCCCAGTAAGGCAGGTCCTACCTCTGAGGGTCAAGAACAAGGTGTATAAGGAAGAGGTAAGGAATTGTATCCGAGTGGAGCTGTGCCAAGAGGATCATGAGCGGTTTTCCACACTGGCCTAGGAGAGCAGAGACAACCCCCCCATGTGTGACATTGTGCATGAGAGAGACTCTCTACATTAGAATGCCAGTCAGGAGGAGCACCCCCAGCCACAAAAGCATTCTGTTCGATTTCCAACATGCTGATGGTGTCCCAGAGCATGATCTATAAGTGATAGACATTGCCTTCAACTTGGTATTCTGGTTTGTGGATGACACAAGGGCACGTTTTCCAGCGAGTTCTGTCTTGAGAGAATGAGCAAGAAAGGACAGATTCCCCTGGTTGACTGGCTTCTGAGCAGATGGGACACAGCATCTTCTGAAAGCCTCCTGGTTCTCCTGCAAATAAATTTCTCAGATGCATATACTTAGGGAAACAATCCATCAATGAAGATGACAAAACCATCTGGCTCAAGGGACTTAAAAAAAAACCAAACAAACAAAAAGCCTAGAGGTTGTAAAAGTTTACATTCTGATGAAGGGTGTGTGTCTGGGGTTTATTATAAGGAGTTGATGAGTTTGGTCTGTGGCTTGTTTTCAGGGATTTTTTAACCTGGCTCTGCTCATTGAGGAAGGTGCTATAATCCCACGTCATATTTTAGATTTCTTGGAAATTGACCCAACTATCCATTCTAATAACATCTCCATCCTCCAGGAACTGTATGAAAGGTGAGTTCAGAGCCTTCTTTAATCCTGTGGAGTCTGGGGGAACCCAAGTGGGTGGTGTTTGCTTCTTGGCTAAAGTCTGAGTTTCTCTTATTATGTAACGCCAGTGGTTATAAAAAGGGCTCGGGATTTGTTTTGATTCAAGAACACTCAGCTGGACCCAAACTATTTCCCTTTTTTAGCATCTGAGGCTTTCTATACAGAATGTGCTTGATCTGAAGTTAAAGTGCTGACCAAGGTTTTCCACGAGAGTGGAAAGAATAATGTGTCTGATTAGACCGTGCCTTTCTGCAAGATAGGGAAGCGTTCTGACGTCCGGACTTTGGACAGGCACTCGGACAGGAGATCCGCCTCTGGCGGATCTGTGTCGGGGTCCTCCTTGACCCATTAGCTTTTTACTGAGAACAAGACTCATCTTTTTCTGAGGCTTCTGCCAGCCAGGAGCCTGGAATCTCAGGACAGGCCCCAACCCTTTAGAACGGGCTTCGTGTCTTTGTTTTTCATCTCAAGTGTGCCCATTTGCCCAGAGCAGGAGGGGGGTTTGAGGATCTGACAACGAGGGTCATGGGTGATGCCCCCCAAGTTTGCCAATCCCTCGGGATTCCCTGTGCTTTTTGTCTGCAGGTGCTGGAGCCAGAGCAGTGAGGAGTCCTTCAGCCCCTGTTCCCTGGCCTGGCTTTACCTTCACCTGCGGCTCATCTGGGGTGCCGTCCTGCACTCTGCCCTGGTAGGTGCCGTCTCCCCCAGCCCTGCGCTCATGGCCCCTGACCTTTGTCAGCCATCTGACTCATGCTTTGGATTCTGCAGATCTACTTTCTGGGAACCTTCCTACTGTCTGTGCTGATCGCCTGGACCGTGCAGTATTTCCAGTCTGTTTCAGGTAAAGATTTCTAAGAAGCTGGGACAATATAAAAATGTAGGGATTCTTTTTCCCTACAAAAAAAAAAAAAAGAAAAAAAATGACACTCTCCCTCCTCATGCCCTTGACCATGCTATTTCCTTTCATTAGCTGGGTCATTCACGGGGTGGAGGGCTTCCCCAGGGGGGTGTCATCATCTCTGGCTGATGGAAGGTCCCAATTATTGTTATACCTGTCAGAGTAAGCAAGGAATTTTTTTTTTAATAAGAAGCTTCAGAAATTGAACCACAATGTCTTGTCCCATTGAAAATACATCCACTGTTAATATCCTACCTCCGTTACCTTAGAACCCAGCTCTGAAGCCCCCTCCAGTATGAATTCTTCCTATTTATTCCAGTCAAGGAATCAAATGTGTGGGATGATAAACAAGCACTCATGATGAGTAAACATACCCAGCCACATGGATTCAAAAGGAGCGGGCTGAGGAGGAAGATGAAGTGGGCAGGTAGTTTAGCGTGATTTCCACTGGTCACTGTTATTTTTCCAAGCTAGCGTAGGGCCATCGTTAAAGAGATGGACGCCACCGTAGCTTCTATGTGGGCTTGGAGTCCAGGCTTGGCTGCTTGTTAGCTGTGTGACTTATGGAGAGTTATTTCACCTTCCTGATCTCCCCATTTCCCAACAATAAAATTAGGTTATAATAGTCGCTATTTCCCAGGGATGTTCGAAGGGTTCAGTGAAAAAAATACACGTGGCGCTTACCAAAGTGACTACTGCAGGTAGTCTTAGCCATTATATTTATCTGGCACATAAAACCCTCTCAGTCAATGTGAGCTCTTATGTCCGTCTCCCTTATCAGACCATAGGATGGAAGGCTTTCGTGCATCTTGTGGAATATCTCACACTTAGTAGGTGCTCAAAGTTGCAAACCTCTGTCGGTGGAGAATTACAATTTTCCACCCTCTTGGACGGCTGCAGAAGGGCACGATCACTCCTGAAGACCAGGAGGGACATTTACAAACGGGCAAATTAGGACTGGACAAGGCATCGTAACACGTGCTCAACCAGTTTGCGCAGCAGATAATGAAAAGCGAAAGGAGTGCGTCTCACCGCAGATTCGATGGTGGGAAGGAAGTCTCTGTTACAAGAGGCTAACGCAGAATCATTTCCCTCTTATTTACCTGAGGAGGTTAACAAGGAGCCATCAAAACCCGTCCAGAGCTGATGCCCTGTTGTATGTCGGCTTATAAATTTTCCTCATGCAAATTCTGTCCCGTCCCTAAATTTGTTGCCAGGTAGAGCACATTTATTTTGCATCTTGTCAGTGTTTTCCATTTCAAATTATCTTTGTCATTTTTACTCTGTAGAAATATTGTTATGATTATTACAAATGCAATTCCGTTAGAGGAGCTGAAAATTGTCTTTATGATTTCATGCCAGCTGGTAGCCATGAAAATTCATGGGCTGGTGGAATTGCTTTTATCAGAAGTTGTCTCTTTTTCCTGTCTTCCTGTCTGCATTATCAGTCTCTCCACATTCTTGCCTCCCTGCCCCTCCTGCCCTTTGATATTTTTTTTCCCTTTGCTATGTATCCTTTGCTCTTTCGCATGTGTTCTTCATTTTTTTGCAAACTCGTTCACTTCCTGAGCATACCTCCTTGCGTGTTGCTGGCCTTAGACTAAGTCTGGATGGGCTCTTAAAGTTAATTTAATTCTATGCCCTTCATTTTGCAGATGAAGAAATTGAGGCCAAATAGATGAAGGGGTCTGCCCCAAATCACAAAATAATATCCAAGAAAGGACAGAGGGCAGCAGGATTTCAAACTTTTTCAGAATTGTGATACAGTTGACCCTTCAGCAACGGGGCGGGGGTGGGGGGCTGCTAAGGACCGACCTACCCTGCAGTTGAAATTCTGCATATAACTTTTAACTCCCCCAAAACTTCATTACTGCCTCCTGTTGACCAGAAGCCTCACCGAGAACATGAACAGTCAATTAACACGTATTTTATATGTTATGCATATCATATACTATATTCTTACATTAGAGAAAAGAATTCGTTATTCAGAAAATCATAAGGAAGAGAAAGTCTGTTCATGGTGCTGTACCGTGTTTATTAAAACAAAAAACCCAAAAAACAAAAAAACTTGTGGAAGTGGATCCATCCAGTCCAAACCTGAATTAGTCAAAGGTCAACCATATTTTGAACTAGTGGTTACCAAAAATAAATGAATAAATAAAATTAAATAAAATAGTGGTTACCATTCTGTCTCTAACCTATTGTTCCCTTATATAAAAAATATTTTGTAGCACGTTTTTGGTACCTTGAAATGAATGATAATTATCCTGCCTACACACATATTTTTAAAAGTAATTGCCCTTGGGGC